ACAATCTATTGCTTGATAAACAATTAATATATTAATCTGTTCGTGAATACTCATAGCAGCCAAAAGGTGGAAACAACACAAAAATCCATCAACAGAAAAATGGGTAAACAAAATATAGTATATACATGCAACAGTATATGACTCAAGCATCTGAGTCATATATTGTTGCATGTATATACCATGCTAGAGTAGACTTCAAAACAGGCTAAGAGAAAATAATCAGACACCAGGGTCACATATTGCTTGATACTGTTAATATGAAATATCCAGAATTAGTAAATTCACAGTGATAGAAGCAGATTGATAGCTGACAGAGGTTGGAGGAAGAAGGGAAGAGACAGTGGCTACTTAATTTGCATGAGGTTGTCTTTGAGGCTGATGAAAATGTTTCCGATCTAGACAGAGGTAGTAGTTGCACAGCATTGTGAATGTACTAAATGATGCAGAATTGCACACTTTAAGAGTTCATTTTGTTGTGTGAATTCCACCTCAGATAATAAAAAGAGGAAGAAATGCCTAAGACACTGCGTGCCATTGTGCACAAGGCTGCTTGGTGAGGGGAAGATCATTTAGTGATTTTTCAAATGACCCAYGTAACATGAACACTGTATGATGGCGATTTTTAATGCCTACCTGTTGAGGACCTTCTATCAGGTTGTCTAAGCTGTGCCCCTAGAAAAGACAACATCCAAGAAAYAATGCTGGATGAGTTCATCTGCCGTTAAAGATAATGCCCTGGTCTTTACAAGGCACCAGCTGTCACTCAGCACAGAGAAGATTTCATCCAGCTGCCTATTTTTTTTTTTTTTTTTTAAGATTTCAGTTCCCTCTCCTTTTCTGCTTCTTGATCATAATGAACTCATACAAATTCCAAAGTAATATCAGTGTCTAGGATTAGTAAAGTGGAAGTAAAGCCAATAAAGATTTTAGCAACTTGTTGAAAAGTTTACAATGTTGTTGAAGGTTGTCACTTTTGAAAATAAMGTTTAAACCTTGTCATGAGCCCTATAGCTTTGCTCTCTGGATTGGCTACAGCATACATTCCYACATCCAGCAAACTCTTGGTTTACATGTAAATCCCTGATTAATAAAAATCTCTTGAGTAAGAAATTCAGAATGCCCTAGCAAGAGCAGCTGAAATTTTCTTATGGCTAAAGGGTGCCATATTATGTCTTATAAAGATCCATCAATCATTTTWAAAAAAACAAAGTTTATTATGTGAATCAACACAGGTCATTTAGGTTTTTTTTTTATTTATTCATTTGGTTGATTTTTTGCTTGTAAACATAGAAGTTTATTTGTCAATGTTCTGGAAGTCTGAGATCAGGGTGACAGCCCAGTCAGGCTCTGCTGAGAGCCCTCTTCCAGATAGCAGCCTGCGCTCTTTTTATTGTATCCTTACATAMTGGAAATAGGGCAAGAAATGCTATTGGAGTTTCTTATAAAGCCACTAATGCCATGTGGGCTCTGACCTCAGGACTGAATTTCCTCCCGAAGGCCCCGTGTGTTAATATTGTCATGTTGGGGGTTAGGATTCACTGTTACATTATTAATTTTTAATTTTTTTTGTCTAACCTGTACTAACTATTTACATAAATGAAGCTCAGTGTAATATTTCTTTTTTTAAAATATATTTATTTATTTTTATGTGGTGCTGAGGATTGAACCCAGTGACTCAGATGTCCGAGGCAGGTGCTCTGCCACTGAGCTACAGCCCCAGTCCTCAGTGTAATATGTCAAAACATAGAGCATATCACGATGASATGCAGCCTCCTCTTATACATCCCCTTCCCTTACCGCTAATAATCACTATTCTACATTCAGGTCAATTTTTATATATTTTTTAAATTCCACATATGAGAGAGAATATGTGGGTCCTAACTTTCTGTGTTCAGCTTATGTCACTTAATATAGTGTCCTTCCAATCTACCCATTTTACTAAAGATGAAAGCTTTTATTCTTTTTTTTTTTTTTTTACTAAATTATCTGCCATTGTGTACATATACCACACATTTTAAATCCATTGACCCATAGATGGGCACCTAAATTGATTTCATATTTTAACCATGTGAATAATGCCACAGTAAATGTGGGGATGCAGTATCTCTTTGGTATGTTTATTTCATTTCCTTTGTATATACCCAGAAATGGAATAGCTGGATCATATGGTAGATCTATTTTTAGTCTTTTGAGGAACTTTCCAACTGTTCCCCACAATGTCCCTACTCATTTACATTCCTATGAATGATATATAAGGGCTTCTTTTTTTCCTCTACATTCTTGCCTGCATTTTTTGTTTTTTTATTTTCTTATAATAACCATTCTGACTAGGGTGATATGATAGCTAGTTGTAGTATTAATTTGCATTTCTCTGATGAGTAATGATATTGAGCATTTTTTTTTCCATAGACTTTTTGGACATTTGTGTTAATTCTTTTGAGAAATATCTGCTTAGATAACTTCCCCATTTAAATTGGATTATTTGTTTATTCATCATTATGTTTTTTGGGATAAGATGCTTATGTATTTTAGATATTAACCAGATGAGTAGTTAGCATATATTTTTGTTAGGATGTCATTTCTGTAGGTTGTTTCTTCACTCAGTTGTTTCCTTTGCTGAGCACGATTTTAGTTTGATGTGATCCCATTTATCTACTTTTGCTTTTGTTTCCTGTGCATTTGTGGTAATATCCAAAAAAGCCATTGTATATACCACTGTCTGTAACTGTTTCCCCTGTTTTTTTTTTTCTAATATTTTAATAGTTTCGGGACTTATTCTTAGGTCTTTGATCTAATCGAGTTAATTTTTGTAAATGATGAGAAATAGTGTTCAAGTTTCAGTCCTTTTCTGCATAAGGATATCCCGTTTTCCCAGCACTACTTGTTGCAGAGGCTCTCCTTCCTCCAGTGTCCATTTTTAGCACCTTTGTCAACTGTCTGTTGGCTCTAGTGCATGGGTTTACTACTGGAATCTCTCTGTTCTTTCATTGGTCTGTGTCTATTCTTATGCTAATGATTTGGTTACTGTGACTCTGTAGYATGTCTTGGAATCAAGTATTGTGATGCCTCCAGCTTTCTTCTTTTTTGTTTAAAATTGCTTTTACTATGCACAGTGTTTTCTGTTTTCATGTGAATTTTGGGATTTTGTTTTTTCTAGTTCCATGAAAAATGTTATTGGTGTTTTGATGGAAATTGCATTGAATCTGTAAGTTGCTTTGGATAGCGTGGACATTTTAACAATATTAATCCTTGTAGTCAATGAACACCAAAGGTACATTTTTTGTGTGCCTTATTCAATATTTTCTCATCAATGTCTTATACTGTTCATTGGAGAGGTCTTTAACTTCCTTAGTTATATTTATTCTTAGGGATTTTTTCAAGCTATTATGAATGGGATTTMTTTCTCAATAATTTCATTATGATATATATAAAAATGATACTGATTTTTATGTTGATTTTCTATATATACTGAATTTATCATTTCTAATAGGCTTCTGATGGAATCTTGAGGGATTTTTATGCATAATATCATATCACCTGCAAACAGGGATAATTAGACATCCACTCTTCCTATTTATGCACTTTGTTTCTTTCTCTTGCCTAATTGCTCTAAGTAATCATTAGTTTTGCCCTCTTAGAGTTTATTTAAAATTTGTTAAATGATTTGGGTTTACAAATAGTTCAGGTAGTATTTTCTTTACTACTTATGTAGTCATTTTTACCGTGTTTCAACAATCAGTGAAAATATGTTAATTGCATGTCTAGTATTTCATAATTACTATAAAATCAAGAATTGGTATTTTTTTTTATTTAATCATTTTACCAGCTTTTCTCTCAAATAATAAGTGATGCCAAGTCACTTGGCTAACATCACCAAATGGTATAAAAGTATCAGTAAAATAAAATTCATACATACAGAGAACAGTGATTTAATTTACACCAAAAATAGTTTAAGAATAGTGCTAACTAGCTCTACTGAGCATTTGAGAAAGTTTCACTTATACCTACTACAACATGGGTTTATCTCTGAAGAAAAGAAACCAAAATTCATTCCACTTTTTCTTTCAATTTAAAAACTAAAATTTAAGATTAATATTGTCCCTTGTTTTTCTACTTCAAACAGTCATGGGAATTAATGTATTCTATTTTAAAAATCACTTAAATTATATGATTTTAAACTGTTTTTTTTTTTTAGCCGTCATAGAAAGAAAATGAAAATATATAGCAGCCAGGCACAGTGGCTATGCAATAATCCCAGCCTCTCAGGAGGCTGAGGGAGGAAGACTGCGAGTTCAAAGCCAGCCTTAAGAATTTAGCAAGGCCCTAAGTAACTTAGCAAAAACTCATCTCTTAATAAAGTATTTTTTAAAAAGGAGCTGAGTTAAGCACCACTGGGTCTAATCCCTGGGACCCCTCCCCTTCCCCCACCTCAAAACGCACAAAGCTAAGAACCAATAAATAAGGAAGAACATTCTCATATCTTTTCAGTATTTGATGGTTGTGATGATTGTCAGCATTTATAGCTGAGTAGGCCTTACCTAATAGAGCTGTTCCTCAGTATCCTCAGGTGATGGATTCTACCCAAATCCCTGTATGCTTAGTCACCATATCAAATGATGCAGAGTCTGCATATGACCCATGCAATTTTGCTATACGGTTTAAATTAACACTTGATTACATGTAGTTGCTATATGAGCAGTTTTTCTAGTATATTGTTTAGGGATGACAATGACAAAAGTCTGTACATTTTCAGTACAGGTTCAGTTTTCCCAAATATTTTCAATCCACAGCTAGTTGAATACACAGATGTGGAGCCATGGATAGTGAAGGCTAACTATAATGCATGACAGCTTCAAGTTATGGATATTCATTTGCTTTCTTCCAATGGATGATTTTCTCATATTTGTGTTATAGTTGCTATACATGTTCTTTAGCCAATATAATGCCATAATGCCGAAGAGATTGTGTATTTACTTAGTATCCGTTTCCCCACTTCTCAGGTTGAGCTCTGTGAAGCTTGAATCTGCTGTCCCATATYCTACTGATGGAAGTGTTGCAGCTGCTGTGGAAATCTGTCAGTGTCCACCAGGGTATAGTGGCTCCTCTTGTGAAGTAAGTTTGTAAAAATATATTCTCCATGCAATATAAGCTCCTTCAGATACTATTCTGAATACAGGAGTTCTTTGCTAATAATTGCACAAATAATCATGTATTACTTAAAGAAGGAACAAAATTCTACTAAAAAGTCAAGACTTGTCCAAAAAGTATTAACCACATAATGCCATTATGAAATTGGTCCCTTTTGAGACATTTTTCTTACTATAACTGAAAAATATGATGTTTCCATAAATATTTCTTTCCTGTTTAATCAGTTGCATGCTGGATGGCAGCAGAATAATATTTCAAAGTGGTTTTTTTTTCATTTTCATTTCAGTAGTTATCCAGAATTTAGTACTTGTTTCTTTTTATTTTCCCATTTTTAAATCCTATATATACCTCTTTTACTCTACTTCCTGAGAATACAACCAAGTCACAACCATCTGAAGCATGCAATCTTCAGAATTCATGGAACATAATTCATGGAACAAATACCTTGCTCTAGGAAATTCTTTACCATTTTTTTTATTTGTTTAATATCTAAGTTTCAGATATTAGTTGTTGTCTCAAAATTCCAGATTTAAAATAAAATTAATGTTTCTTACTTAATACCACAGTATATCTTTTTAAGAGAGCAATTTTATTTACTTCTATGTATTTTCTCTGAGGTATTTTGAAAATTGATTTTACTTGAAACCTGGTCAAAAAAATGTAAACATGAATTCCCTGCCAAAGGGAATGCCTTCAAGATAAATAAGAGCTTAAATTCTTTAAAATGATACCTTTAAGGAATCATTTGAGTGCATCAGGATGTTCCATCAGAACACTAACCTATTACACCATTTATAGAAATACTATAGGCACTGCTTTGTGAGTTCCCTCATACTTTAAAATAATATGTGCTTCCAGAGAGTGCTCAGACCTTACAGTCATATTCATGACAAATGTGTTTTCTTTAACTGGGCAGATTTACCTATCTAGAAATAAAACTAAAGGTAATTCATTATAGTACTTGTTTTTCCAAAATTTTTGAAGAAAGGAAAAAAAAATCATGGATTTAAACTATCTATGTCCAGCCTTATTTGATTGCAGATATAAAATCTATGTTGTATTTGAAGAAACTTTTTTTATAACAAGTCTTTCAGCTTTTATTTTCAACTCCTTTTGGAAATTTAAATTCCTATTTCAGTTATAATAATAAATACCTTATTTCTCTTCTTGCTTTAATACATACCCACATCATTCTCATTTTAATTCATCATCTTTTATGCAAGGACCRCATGCCTATAGAATAGAAAATTGTCTTAATATTATAATGGTTTAATCAGCTATGTTTCATGTTACTTTTGTCCCTTTGAAAWTATTCTGAAAAATTCTGCACGCATTTGATAAGTTATGTAAATTTCTCTGTATAAATTGTCAATGAGTATACAACACAATCTCTGTTCTTAAAGAACTAACAATCTGGAGAGATAGAACAAATACCTATGAAAAATTGGATCATAGCACTGTATCATTAAGGGACCAGTTAACAGGGGATCCTTCAAAGGGTTAGCTACTCTAGTGGAAAGAAATGTCTTGGAAAGTATCTGAGAGATGCTAAATATTAGTAACACATGGATTGGAAGAGAGAAGCATGCAAGTGTGGAAAAGAGAACAAAAAAGGAGCAGAAGAAGAAAAATAAAGCTTCCTTGAACTTGTCACACAATAATTGATAAATAAAGTTTCTTTGAGACACATAAATGAACTTAGTTTAATCAAGGGACAATAAGTTTTGGAACTCTGGAGTTCCTCTCTGATTTTGTTTCTTTTACCCTCTAATGATCTTTTCTGTTCTTTATCAAAACTTCCTGTCCCTAGACTTGATATCACCCAATGCTGTCCTTTCTTGAGGTTGTTTTCTTTTTTCACTGAGCTTAGTTCAGAAGGCCAGTCACTAGGTTTGTTATCATTAATATCCTGCGATCCCTTAAAAGCAGAGTAAACTACAAAGACCATCCCATTACTTAATTATAGATTACTAAGAACCTCTGGCCAAAAATTTATTTGAGACTTTATTTGGGACTACAATGTTGATTTAGAAGCTATTTTTAAAAAAATAATTCTTCTCATTTCTACTTGTCATCTTATAAATCGCTCTACATTTAAACTTTCAAATATTTTCTTATTTTCCTAGTACCATCATAATCCATTTTACTTGATAGGTGAGGAAATGAAAGCACAATAGGATACTAAAAAAAAAAAGTTTTAAGGCCAAATCTGTTTCCTCTTAATATGAATCTCTATATACAAGTGTTTGTACTCTCACTTTACTTCAGTATTTTCTAAAACATATATTTCAGGCAGTCAAGACCCAGGACATGAAGGATAATGTGATAGAGAGTACAAATACGGTATTTGAAAAGCTAGGTAAATTAACAGGATGTCATCACATCACAAAGGTCCGGAGGAGACTGATTTCATATGAAATCAGACAGGAAGAGAGAGGGTATTCAAAGATGGAGAGACTACTTTATAAAGTTTGCCATGAAAGGCTTTCTGAGGTGGTGACATCAAACCATGTTAAAGAATGAGAAGTAAAAAGAGCTTATGAGGAAGTGGCCTAGAGTTTGGAGTCTGCAGGAACCTGAAAGAAGGCAAGTTTGGCTGCAGTTTAGTAAGCAAGGGGGTGAGTGGCCCAAAATGTGAATGGGGGAGCCAGGCCATTCAGAGGTGTTCACACATGGTAAGAATCAAGATTTTATTCTGAGTGCCATGCAAAATCAATAGAGGTCTTTAAGCAGGATGTTGCCATGACTTGAATTATGGTTTTTTTGACTGTATTTTTTTACTTTGTACTATAGTCACATCATTATTACTATAACATAAAGAACACACTGTAGAATGGCATGACTGGTAGGAAGAAGAGCAGTTAATACACTAGTACAGATAGAACACAGAAATTACAATAGTTTGTGTTCATTTATTGGCAGGGCATGTACAAATACAGAACATATTATATATGTGTTTTTAGAACCAATAGGACTTACTGGTATTCTCCATGCCAGGGAGAGAAGAAGAAATAGTTTACGAACGAGTCATAGGTTACCAGCTAAAAACTGTACAACTGGATGTGATGACATTGATTGAGCTGGGAATGGCTACTCTGGAGGAATAATCGGGTTGGAGTGAAGAGGGAATCAATAGTCCATTTTAGAAATATTTGGTTTGGAAACACTGTGAAGTGTAGGTGTCAATGTGTCCTTAGAATATGCATGTCTTGGACTTAGCATATCTATCTGCCTGGTTGGAAGGCATTAAACTATGGGACTAAATAAATTAACCAGGAGAGAATGTGATTAAAAAGAGAAAAATAACCTCACCTAGACCCTGAGGGGCTCCTGACAATGAGAAGTAGGGTCAGAGCAGMAAAGAATGTAAAGAGAAAGGAGATAAATTCAGGGAGCATGATGTTGCAGAGGTTGGGAGAAGACTTTCAAGGTAGAATGGAGTCAGCCAGGCAGAATGATAAGAAGGTCCCAGACCAAATACAGTTACAGAGTTGTGCACTGTATTTGATCAAATGGAACATGGTGGCAGGGACAAGAGAAGTTTTAATTGACTGAGCACAAAACAGATGAGTATGGGATGAAGCGAGCAAGGCAATCGAGGAAGAAAAGATTGTGTAGAATAGTTTTACTAAAAAGAAAAAAAGGTGACAGAAAGTGTTGTGTAAGGTTAAAAGAGTGATTTTGCCATTTTTTTTCTGTTAACTAATGATGGAGGCAGTGGGTCATATTTCTGAGATGATGATAGTGGTCCAGTAACAAAGATTTTATTGATGGAGCAGTGAGAGGGAATATTGAAAAGACAAAAAGATCCTGGAATCAAGAACACAAGTGGAGTAAGATTTCCTTCAGAGGAGGAAGGATCCTGCATTACCTCCTCTATTGTTGCAGAGGGAAATTGGCAAGAATGTCTGAAGACAAAGGTGCATTCTTGTTGGCTTAGGATTCGAAAGAGATAGATTCTGATGGCTTTCATTTTTTTCTGTGACTAATGGGGTAAATTCACTGATTAAGAAAAAGGTCTAGGGAGTTGGGGCATCTGAAAAATGAAGGTGTTATACAAGTGCTACATTTTAAAATGTTAAAAATATATGTTAAGGAAATCTCTATAAACATCTGCCCTAAAAACCTACTATCAGTTCTCTCGCTCTTCTCTTGATATAAGCTTTACCTCCTTCTGGATAGGTAGCTTCACCATTTTATAAACATTTATATTATAGAAGAACATCACTTCCATAATAAATCTATGGAGACCAAAATTTTAACAGGGGGAAATTATTGGAAAGGAACAGAAAGTCCACACTTTCTCTTTCATACTGCTCAAAATAAGAGGAAAGTTGATTTTATTTTATTTTCAGATATGAAATATCTGCAGATCCTTTTTTCACGTGTCTGTTATTGATGTTCAAATTGAAGAGTCCTCATATCCTAAGGCAGAAGAACATTTCCAACAATACACAACACAATTCTATATACTTTATTACTTCAGTGGTTTCTTTCATTTCTATTTTCAACTGGAAAAAAAAAGACCTTTTGTGATATATGGTGTTGTATTTAACCATCCAGAAACACAGTTTATAACCCACAAAAGGTGATTACTACATGGATTCATAAGCTTCTAGAAGACATCAATACTTACCTTACAGTGAATTTAGATACCTTTCAGTTTGTAGAAATCCCCAGAGAATAAAAATTTAATTAAGAATGAGTGGATTTAGATCAGGTACTGACAAATAGGAAATATAAACCCCAAGTATCCTGTTATAATTGGAATTCTGGTTTTATATCATAAGCTGTTTCATATATAAGAAATCTACAATGAATATAAGCCAGATTATAGGAGAATAATACCATAAAATAAACTATCAGGGGAATATATGGTAAATAAACCACAAGCTACTTTGGGTAAATTTGAAAAACCATTATAGGATGGAGGAAATTTGGAATGAAATATATAAATTACAAATGTATTAAAGTCAAATGTGTATGTTGTCAAATGTAGGAGGCGACTGCTGTCTGTTTTGCAGATGATTTCAAAGATTTTTATGAATGTGAGGGGGTTGAGGATGGCGACTGTGTGGAAAAGGGAGCTATTCCCAAGTCAAATTACTTGGGATGATGTTGAGTGCCCTCGTAGGCTAAGATTCTCTGAGCCCTTTTATGTTGGCTACTTTTTTTTTTTTTAGTACTTTTCCTTCTATTTTCCTGTCTGTGCTTTTTACTTTGAGACTGTCACATTTCAATTCTTTATATCTGTGCTTTATTTTACCATTTCAGAAGAGACACCATGCTAACGCTTCCTCTAATCTCAAACCTGCCAATAACAGTAAGGTCAGTACGAAGTCCCAATGTCAGGAATAATAGTGCTACAGCAATGTTTCAATAGTGGCTACCTTTGACAGCATATTTGCTGAGTTTGCTACCTAACTTCTTTTCTATTATCAGAAAAAAAATTCTTTTTTTTTTTTTTTAATACCAAGACTGATGCAAAAATTATCTTTCTTTCAGTCTTGTTGGCCTCGGTACAGAAGAGTTAACGGCACCATATTTGGTGGCATCTGTGAACCATGTCGATGCTTTGGTCATGCAGAATCCTGTGATGACATTACAGGAGAATGCCTGGTAAGTGCTGTCTTTCCACTGGGGATGCTGATTGACACAGCTGAAATTGACTCAACAAATGCCGCAGTTTGGTTGCTGCCTTTGGAACCTTGAACACTTGAGTAAAGAAGTGGTTTGACAACGATATTTATATTGAACTAAATTAGAAGCTGAAAATACTCTTGCATATGTAATCTCCCTAGTAACTATTAGGAAGTATTTATTTATATTAGTCTAAGAATCGAGTTAGAGCTACATCATTATAGAGCATAACTAATAACTAGGATATATATTCTAACATGAATATATGTGATTTCACTCCCTTCCATAAATCTACCAAAAATAGACTGTTCTAAAACAAGAAATTATGTATATCCCCATAATAGGAGAAGTGTAAAATATAACCTTTATAATACACATAATTCAGGGTTTTTTATAATTTATTATTTTCACATTGAAAATGAGGACATTTGCATATTTATCTGAAACTTTCAGCATTTAACTATATGCAAAGTGTCATGCATAGATAAAAATAATAAATATATGGAATACATATTCACTAGAGTCGTTTCTCCTTCTACAATTAAGGCTATACTTTTAACAAGAAAATAAGCTCTGCAAAGTGCAGAGCACTTTCTATCCTTCTAAGAAGCCTTAGGACTGGAGAATTACTCTGAATAGGCCGTTCTGATTAACTCAAGGGCATGTTAGTTTTATATTGTCTGACATGGCATGAAGCTTGAAACAACACTTCTCATTTCATTAGTCTTGCAGAAACACAATTTGAAACAGTGCCAATTTAGGAGGATATCATACTCTCATTTCCCTGCAGAACGTAAGACAGACTCTGTTATCAGTAATTCTTAATGTTTTCTTTCTCTTGCTCATTTTCCCCCCTTTCTCTTCTACTTAAAAGCTTCTGGGAAAAATCCAAAATGAAAACTCAGGGCTTTTGTTTCAATGTAATTTGGCATTTAGGTTTATTGATGTACTTTCTGTTTTCTCTATATAAGATTTTGTTTAATTGCATTGCAGTATAAAGCATGATAGACTTAATTTGTGGATCAGTAGATTTTTCAAATGGCATTTTTACGAATAGAAAGACTAAGTGATTTTCATTTTAATTATACCACAGTCTTTTAAAACGTACCTTGGGAAAAATATTGAGTTACCTTTAAACACTTTATTAACATGCAGTAGGAAATATACAGCTCGAAACTAATGTGGATTTGCTTTACTTACCAGAAAAAGGCAAAAATAAATATGTCACAATACCAAACTCATAATGTTCCCTAAGGTAATATCCCAAGTTGAATTCATCACAATAAAATAAAATCATGCTGTTGGTCAATTTGGTGATATGATATTTTGAAGAATGAAACATTTGTTTTAGAATTAAATAGCTTCTTTCATCATAATTTTGAGAGAGAAATCATGGAGGAAGCAGTGATAGCTGAGATCTTATAAAAAACCTATTTTATTGGCTGTTTAATGGACAAGAAGATAGAAATCTACCTTCAAATAATAGAGGAATCTTGGAGACAAAATCTCCTGTTCCTTGGATTTTCCCAGGTAGCTGGCAAGTAAATGATCAGGTAGGATATATTCTGGAGACATTCAAGTGTTCTTTCTCTGAAATGGTATTGAAATCTAAGTGTCAATATCTTAATTTTAGCTTATGTGATCCACAAGGAGAAAAATATTGGAATAATTGCATTACTAAGGCATTCTTACATTTTATTGTTCAATTGATCTTATATTTCAGCTTCTTTTTTATTATTCATGGGGAATTGTTTCTTTCATTAAAAGATAATTTATGAAACTTATAGACTTATTTTCGTTTAGCTTGTCTGATTATAAATTAACTGAAATACATTTTTGACATCAGAATAAAAATTCAGACAACTGCTATAATGTGAACCTATATGGAAAAAGTCATTTTAACTCAGAGTATGATGTGATCCAGGAAACATTTAAAGCCACATGGGAAGATGGTATGTTTCTCATTGTTCTCATGATATGTGATGGGAACAAACATTTGAAAGGCACTTTTATAGCAAATCACCCTTGTAAACAACCAGCTTATCATAGTGAAACTTTCATGTTTTTCAGTGTTGATTATATTGGTTGTGTGATGCTATTTTATAGTTTTAATTACAAATATACTTGTTTGAAGATTATTTTATTTTTATTTACTGAAACCTAAAAATACAAAGTGTAAGAAACTTTATTTTTCCATTAAATCAGTTGTTAAAGAAAAGCAGGGTCTCTGAGTTATGCAAGATTTTCTGTGGAGTTTTACAATTATATTTTCAATCTAGTTAAATTGTAATTAATTTTATGATTGAATTTACTCTAAAGTTGTTGACAGAATTTTAATTTTGTTAACATGACAACTTGCAAAGAATTTTTCAAAAAACAAACAATTATTTGGTAAGACCTAAGTTAAGATAAACTTAAAAAGTGAAGGAGGTGATAGGAAGGCCCAATCAAAAGAAAGTTTTCTTTCAATTGTTCTAGGTTTTGTTCTTAACATCCTAATATACTGTGTTAGACAACTGTTAATAGCAAAGTTAGTTAATTGTTACACTGTCTTTTAAAAAGTCAAATATATTTGAGAAATAATTTAAAATAGCTGAAAGGAAAACCTGTCTTCGCGTATCACCAGTTACTATAGAAATACCTTTCACTTGTAGTTGATAGCAATGACATGGAGTATTCAGAGCTTGAAAACTTTAAGTAATGAACTTTAGCTTCCATTTTCTTTTAATTTTTATTTATTTATATGCAGTGCTGAGAACTGAACCCAGTGCCTCACACATGCTATGCAAGCGCTCTACCACTGAGCCATGACCGGAGCCCAACTTTACTTCTTTATTTCAGAGAATGTAAATAGGAGGTTCGAGTTAAATGAATGGATTATGATTTAGATTTTTTTTTCATTCAATAAACAAATCTGATATCCCCTAAGAAACTATAATAAGCAATGTTCAAAATATATCTTCATTTATTTGGTTGTTTTTGTTAAATCTATATACTAAACAAAACTGACACTCATCTTATTTCGAAACCTATGGAAATGAATAAAATGTGGAATTTTCATTAACCTGATCTGACTGTTCCAACAGTCATAAAAACATATAAACTTTTACTGTGCTCAAGATTAATTTATATTCTTCCTATTTCCTTCATAAATTTGGGTGTTGGTGATAAAAATAAAGGCTGCACATCCTTGAGTTCTTATGAACCCTTGTAAACATGTAGAAAAATGTAATTATATGTGCTTATTAGACTTAAAATAAACTTCAGTACTAATGAATCCATGCTATATGATTTTAGAAGGAATTATATAACATCATTGTATCATTGGAAACAAGACCTATATCTACATGATAAAATAAATATTTATCAAATTGTGCTATTGGAGACAGTTCTACTGCTTGATTAGCTGGACCTTTATACCAGTCTTGATGAATTTTATGAACACAGCCTGAGATTAGGAATATATTTTAATTAATATGATAAAATCAAGAAATAAATTATTTATTTTGATTTTGATTTTTGAAAAAGAGATTGCTCTAAAAATAATAATTGGTAGAAAGATATAGTTTCTACTTGGTTTTGAAAGTATCTGAGGAAAATTTTTATGTGCTCTGTGATTTCATCATATATTTAAGATTTTTTCCCCATTTTCTCAATGTTCAATTATGAATCAAACAAGCTCCTCACAGATATAATATAAGAAAGCATTGTGCAAACATCAGAGTCTGCTAAGTTCAAAATTAATGCCTGAGCTAAGAGGGCACAGTCTTGGGGGATTTGTATGATTAGCCACAGTTCTCATTAAATCAGCAGTTTTAAGCTACAATTGATTTTTACTTAGAATCAGCTACAATTTCCATTAAACTTATGTCATTAGGCTGTCTGACTACATACACATACACACACTATCAAATACATTTTCTTAAGAAAAAAAAATAAAGAAGAAACAAAATTTGCATAATGAAGATAATTTATAAAGGATTTCAGTTATCTTTTAAATTATGTATGTGTTGAGCCTAGTATGTAGTTGATGAACTAGATATTAACTTCCAATGTTATTTCCCTGCTAAAAAATTGACCGTTTAATGTGGAAAAATTTATCTTCCTGGTGGGGAACAGACTAATGATTTTATAGACCTGAAAGCAACATGGTGCTGTTTGAGACCAAAATATAAACTCTGATATGCTCTTCTTCCTCAGAACTGTAAGGATCATACAGGTGGCCCCTATTGCAATATATGTCTTCCTGGTTTTTATGGTGATCCTACTCAAGGAACTGCTGAAGATTGCAAGCCCTGTGCTTGTCCACTCAATATTCCATCCAATAAGTGAGTAACAAACTTTCCTTACCAAGGAGTTTGGTTTCCAGTTCTATAAGTGTATCTTTGATATCAAATGTAAACTTTCTCTTGTTGCATGCACATAAATAATAAATACATGCATGAATTTTTCAGGAAGGTGATATGAGTTTTTAATGTAAAATATTTAAAATTATGACCATTTATTTCTAAAGGTTTTTAGTATTTTGCCCTAGATTTGATGATTTAGTAATTAAGAGATAGAACTCAAATAGCATTTCTATCCTAGTTTAAAAGAACATAATTTAAATAAGCACATACATGTGCCTGTGTAGACATATATGCCTACACACCAAAAGATCAGTGACATTAAATGCTGCTCATTTAAATCCTAGTCTAGCTTTTGTGTGTGTATGTGAAAGTATGTTTGGGCAAGTCACAAACTTCTCAAAAGCTAAAATGAAGGGATTTGATTAGTTGAAACTTTAAGCTTGCCTTGATGAGTTTTATGAACACAGCCTGAGATTAGGAATATATTTTAATTAATAAGATAAAATAAGAAATAAATTATTATTTTTATTCTTATTTTTGAAAAAAAGATGGCTCTAAAAATAACAATTGGTAGAAAGTCGTTGAAGCACTGCATTCAATTCTCAGCACTGCATATAAATAAAAATTTAAAGACAAACGAAAGCTGAAGTTGATTACTTAAAGTTTTCAAGCTCTGAAACTCCATGCCATTGCTATCAAACCAGCTGATCTTCAATTACCCATACTATCCCTGAATTATCACATAGTTTATCTCTTACACAATATTTACAGATAGATATGTTTATTTATACATATATGTCCATCTTATTAAAATTGGTTTAACAGTACACATTTTATCATAAGTTTATGACTAATAAACTATGGGTATTAATTGCTACATTATCTATTATAAACAATGTAGATCTTAAAAGTTTTAATACAAACTTCATATAATTTTATATCCATTTTTTTCCAGTTATTCACCTAGAACAACAATCTATTAGAAAATATTTTAGAAAAGGAAGGAAGGAAAGAAGAAAGGAAGGAAGGAAGGATTAAATAAATTAATAAAATTTTCTTTGTTCTTTCCCTTACTTTTCATGAGAATGCTCTATACCAGGTTCAAAAATTGATATTACTACAAAATGTGGCTGTGTTAGTCAAATTTTCATCACTGTGACAAAATATCTGAGATAAATAAAGAAGAAAAAATTTATTTTTGCTTACAGTGTCAGAGTTTTTAGTGCATGGTCAGATGGTTGAATTGTGTTTAGACCTAGGTGAGGAAGAAATATGGTGGAAGGGCGTGGCTTAGGAAAGCTTCTCATTGGGAGGCAGACAGAAAGGAAAAGAGAAGGAGAGAGAGGAAGGGGCCAGTGACAAGACATAATTTCCAAAAGCATTCTCCCAAGAATAGATTTACTTCAATGAGGTCCTACTTCCTATAGTTTCCATCATTTCCCGATAGTTCATTCAAATTATGAATCCTTCAATGGCTTAACCCATTGATGAGGGTAGAGCCCTCATGGTCTAACTATTTCCTAAAAATTTTACTTCTGAACATTCCTATATTAGGAATCAAGAAGGCAAATGGTTCTTATAGGTAAATAATCGCAAATAACTATAATGTTACTTATTTTATTATTTTGGTGCTAAATTTAGATCCAAGATCTTGTAATCTGCCACTGAGCTACACCACCAGCCCTAACTATAATTTTAAATGAAAGGAATTTTCTTTTGAGAACTTTTAAGAGTAATCTTAGTACTTAGTGAAGTTCTTATCATGTGATGCACTTTCCATCTGTTTCTACAAGCAGTGATAAAACTTTTAGGGCAGAAATTTCAAATAATTTTTAAGTGAAATCTGTCAGCTATGATTTTTAAATGTGAAGTTTTGATCAAGGAGGTCATACTCTTAGGTCTTACCCAAGATGTTCCTAATTAAGATGCTATATTATTATTAGATCTAATGAATACAACAGGCTAAAAAATGAAAATAATTCTGTTTTCAAGATTAAAGTCCTCCTGAGAACTGTGCTTTCTTGTATTCAGCTCACATGGAATCCTTATCCTCCTCTCCAACTATGCTTCTCTTCCAATGTTCCACCTTACTCATTGTTTGGAAAAGAACTAACATTGAATGAAAACAGCCTACTATATTCTAGGCATAGGGTCATGCACTGTATTAGGTTATTTCACCTTCAGAAATTATCCAATTTGGTAGATAGACTAATAAGTCAAGTTTATGAGTAGAAAGGGTGTTATAATATCAACTTTGAAGTCAAAACTCCCTTAGTTTAAATGGTGGATCCATACTTTCCACTGGTACAACTTTGGGCAACTTTCTTAAACTACCTTAGTTTATTCAACATAAGTTGTGATAACTGAACCCTCTCATGGGGTAGTAAGAATCACACCATTAAAATATGTGAAGTACATAAAACAGTGAGTGGAAATGGTGAACTGTAGATTGATTGTTAAGTAACTTGCTTAGAGTCATAAAGCATCAGTATCAGAAAACAGTTTTAACTTAAATATCTTTTTTAAGTTCCAGTCCTCTGCAGTCTATGTTGACGACTTTTTAAAAAATAAGTAAAAATAATGCAGGTTAACATAAAACCTAAAACAATCAATCCACTAGGTAAGTTAAGTTCCCTAGTAAGATCCTGAAAAAATGAGAAGTTGATTTAACCTATATTAGGGATCAGAACATTTCCAGAACATAGGGAATGAGCTTGGAAGGACATACAACTTAAGAACCTTTGCCCACCAAAGGTATCAGAGAAGAGGAAGAAAAAATATTGGAAAATAGGGAATATAAGGAAATACAAATAAAGTCCTTTATGACTAATGGCTACTGCTCCCTACCTTGTATATAATGTGACACCAAATTGGCTATGTGTTGTACACATGAAGGATTAGATTACATAGTGCATGACCTCCTCATTTACCAGGGCTAAATGGCATTCTCCAGCCCATCACATGCTCATAAACCTCACTGTTGAGCACTGACCTTCGTTGAGGAAGGCAGACAGATTGCACCTCGAGATGCCCTTGCAATGTATCTTCTTATCAACCAAAACATTATTGTTATTAACATAGCTATCAACCCCACAGAGCTGTTCATTCATTGAACCATGTGAATCCTAATGTAATACATAGAGACCTTATGAATTTCCCCTCAAATCTGGCCAACATTGCTATAAATAAAGAGAAGTCATTAGGGAAGGAATTTTGCTTGGGCAAGTGTAGGCATTCTTGGCCAATCCTTGCCTTTATATTTGCTGTGTGTTGTCCTGAACAAAAAATAGCTCAACCAAAATTAAAGTACCATCCACTTGTACCAAAGGGATTTGGGTACCAGAAAGTTGAATGATATTTCCTAAAACATGTGTTTTGCAAGTTGGCTTACTTTGTTGATGTTATTTTTTTTAAAATCATGTAATAATAATAAGAACGACAATAATATATTAACATAAATAACAATATTGGTAACATCAAATATTTAGAGATCATTCAATTTTAAGATGATTTTATTTGTAGTAAATAATAATTGAATTATTTTTCAAAGATTTATTTTAGTAATATCATTGAGACTAGAGTAGTAACTTATTTGAATTCCAGATTTTTTTTCTTTTTTTAATTTTTATTGGTTGTTCACAACATTACAAAGCTCTTGACATATCATATTTCATACATTAGATTGAAGTGGGTTATGAACTCCCAATTTTACCCCAAATGCAGATTGCAGAATCACGTCGGTTAAATTGTTTTATTAAACGTAGAAAAAGGAAAGACACACTTAGTTTATAAATTCTAGAACTTTTGTAGTTAGAGATATACAGTCTTTTAAATTTAAAACATTCTAGAAAATTATCATAGTTTAGCTACACAATTATGATGGAAGAAATCCATTTTAAATAATAACCTAAAATATTTTCTTGAAAAATTACTAAAAACAAGGGCACTTAAAGAAATAGGGAACTATTTTTTTTAAAGATCTTTGTAAATTACTGTTATAATCTAAGTTAGGAACTCTGAAGCATAAATTGAAGAGTTGTATATAATCCAGAAGATGGGATTTGAATTTTTACAGTTACATAGAAAAAGAGAGAGTGAGCACTAAAGGTTGCTGCAACCTTCCTCCGAAGTGTGAGGCTTAGTGATAGTTTTAACTTGGTGATTTATCTATTTAATCCCTGGTCATAAATCTTATAGATCACAAGCATTTTGGCTCCAAACTTCTTAGATAATATTGCTAAATAAATCAAATGTGTTGGAAGATAGAGACAGATTGGTATAATTATTATGATGTATGAATACAGACAAGCATATAATATTTAAATCATACATATACATCAACTTCATCAACTATTTACAGTGCCCACTGTGTGTTTGGCCTTTTCACCTTGGTGATGTTTATATTCTAACTATAGATGTAACTAGCCAGTGAAATTTACCTCCAGAGAAGTAAATAAAAGTGAAATTTCAAATGTTTAATATTCATTAATTTTCAGTATCACATAGATTAAATATGAACATTTGCTATTGAATACTTAGTATGCATTTTAATAGATAAAATTATTTAACCCAATACTGATTTTCATAAATTGTGCTATAAAATTAGAGATATTCTTGATACAAGCCTGGACAGAAAGTAGCCCCTAAACAAATTCCAACTACTGTGGAATCTGCTAATTTGTGTTCCTCAGGAATGCTTCAATTACATTAGTAAAAGAATGGAATACTTCTAGAGCTGACTTTTGGACTCTTTCAAAAGGACATATTGAATTATTGTTGTTAAATTTAGTACTTATAATTGAGAAGTACATTCCAAGACAAGAGGTAATTTAAATTCTTTTGGAATAAGGCTAATGGTATCCTTATGTTTGTATTCACAAACATAAACATATACACGAACTCATATATAAACACATATGCATGTATGCACATATATACATCTTTATAAATGGATCATTATGAAACACATGAAAATCTGTTTGTTATTAAAAGATCCATGTGCATATCCTTACAATTTATTCCAAGAGTAGCTGCCCTTCCTCCCCATTTGTTGAAGCTGTGCCTGCAGCTCTTGGCTCTCCTTGTCTTCGGTGCCATGGGCTGGTAAATCCAGGAAGCAGAACATTCTCTCTGTTGGTGTGCAGCTAGCCAATTAGTGTTAAGTGACATAATCTTGGAATCGATTTAAGTCAATGATGATCCCACAGTTCCCTCTTTGTGTCATGGAACAATTATCTTCATGTTTTGGCCAAAATCAGTGTCACATCACTACATTTGCCAATCCAAATTCTGGAGGCATTTTTGGTTGTGCATGTGTATTTCTCATTCTAATTTTAATCTTGTTGTTGAATGCCATCTTCTGTCATTCCTGTAACTGAAATTACAGCAGTAAGGGAGTGACTCCTCAGTTTATGTTGTTAAAGAATTTCAAAGCATGAGTATATTTTAAGAGGGGATTTTATTTGCATGCATCATGTAAAGTATTTATATTACTAAAACCTTAAAATGACTTAATTCTCACCAGCAGGTTTGAATGACAGTTTGTTATATGGAGAAGAGAATATCAAATTAAAATTCTGAAGTCCTGGATCCCATGCTCAGTTCTTCTAGAAATTAGAGTATGACCTTGGGAGAGAAAAATTATGCCTGCCCCAAACAGCTCATAGGATTCTGTGAAAATATGATAAAGTTATTTGTAAAAGGACTCTGAACTATAAGAGCAAGTCAAATCTAATATATTGTTATTGCTTATTTTTTTACTGAGAAAATATTGATTTTTGTCAGTGAGTACATTTTACTTTACTTCTGTTGGCTTTAACTGCCATGTGAGTATTTTAAGAATTTGAAATCTATTTTATAAATAGTTTTAAAGTGTCAGAAGCCTTGTCAACCACCTTTGACATGTCTCACGGTAAACTGATTTAGGATTTTAAAAAAAAATAATTGGTACAGTTTTTCTTTCAATCACTGTAGTCCCATGGGATTGACAAACTCAGGGCTTTAAAAGTCCCTTTCTCCATACATGATAAGATAATTAAAGAATTCCAGTTTTCAAAGAATATATGCACTACAGAGATTTTTAAAATTCCAGTTCATTTTTTTTTTCATACCTACAAACAAAAACAAATCACTGTGTAAAGATGGGGAAAATCCTGTTTCATTCTTCTTTCATATGTGCTTCTCCTTGGTATAAACAAGTGACATGTACCTCTTCAGTATAAATGCATTCCCGCTAAGATCCTGTGGGTGATCCCTTTGGGGGTAATGTGTGGCAAGATGCAGGCCCCAGTTTCAAAGGAGATTCCTTTCTCACAGAACAGACTGGTTGCCCATGGTAGCCACCAGAACCCCTTAATATGAGATATTTTGTTTGGATAATATTTATATATAAACTCATGTTCCCCTTTTCAGGTTTTCCCCCCTTGACCCAGTAGATTCATTTGGTCTTTCCACAAAGTGAAATGTCTAAATTGATGCCAGTAGCTTTGTACTTCCAAAAAAAAAAAAAAAAAGAATTATTTCATCTTAACAGGAACATAATGAATTAAGTCAGAGTCATATTACTTAAAAACAGTACCCATGATATTCTCTCCATCATATTTAAGAAAGCTATGCAAGTGTCAGGAGCCGAATGAGATCAGGACTTGCAGTGTTTATTGTTCTCACTTTAGTTCACTTAGCCATCAAGCAATCAAGCAAGACTGTACTGAATTGTCATGTCATATACAATAGAAAATAAACCTATTTAGAGAAAACATAATGGAAGAAAGATTAATTGAGGGCATTTCCCTTTAAAATAGTGGAACAGTATGAATCTGAAGAACTTGATCACAGAAAAGTTGAGGATGGAGTGGTGGTTACCAGAGGCTGGGCGAGTAGTGGGGCAGGTATGAGTTTACAGCCAGACAGGAGCAACAAATTCTGGTTCTGGACTACAGATAACAACAGTGTAATGCACATTCCAAAAGCCTAGGAGAAAGGACTTTGAAAGTCTTCACTGTGAAAAAAATGATGTTTGAGGAGATTGACGTGATTCATCTGATTTAAACATTACACAGCATAACAAAACAAAAATTACATGCTATCCATTACTATGTACAGTTTCTGTGTGCCAGTTTAATAATATTTTTTTTAAATAGTAGAGCAGCAGAATTAATTAGAGGGCTCTTCTGAGAGCAGCAGATATCTACAGAGTAGTGTCCATGTTGGGGTAAGCGTGAATGCAGGTGAGATGTCTCTTTCCAAGAAAAAAAAATGTAAGCCAAGCTGAACATGTTTCTTTGAAGGCTAATGCTCACATGAGATTGCTGTGCTGGTTCTTGACATGGTGTCCAACTCTGTTATTTCAGACCAAAATTGTAAGTATGTTCAAAGAGAGAGAAATTTTGAAACATGCCAAAAGGTATAAAATGGCAAGGTTGCTGTAGATTGTTTTGTCTTATTATAAGTTGAAGTATAGTACACACACTTAATTGCTTCTGGAAGCATTCTTGAGGATGCCATCAGTGTGACTGTATGCCTGTGAGTATACATTACAGCAGTTAGCACATACACCCCAGGCAGCAGCCCTGAAGGTAGGAACCCCTACTGCCACCTCTCCTGCATGCTGAGTTTTCCAAAAATCCCTAAGATTTCTCAGTGCTGCTTCAGATTCCAAGGGACTTGGCTGGAGAGAAGGGATGTGAGGAAATTTGTTTCTAGGCCCAGGGAATCCCTCAAAGCAGCTGTTCACAAACTCTTATTATTGGCAATCACAGATCCAGAGCAATCAAAAGTTAGTTAATAGCAGGTCACAGGGATACTGCTTCTCCACTGGGCTATAGTCATGTCTACACATAGAGCAATGTCATTTCATCCTCAATTAGCCAGATCCTGAGTTCTATCTGTGAGACAGGAATGACCAGCTTTTGGCCTTTTTTTCACAGCAGTAGTAGAGAAAGAGAAATGAAAATATGCTACTAATGATTTTGTATATTGCTTCTTTCTTGTCTCTGTTGTTCCCCAAAACAACATCACATAGCTTTAGCCCGACCTGCCATTTAGACCAGAGTCTTGGCCTGATCTGTGATGCATGTTCTGTTGGGTACACAGGACCACGCTGTGAAAGGTAAGCATGTACCATCCCATCTTGCAGAATGACTTCTACCTTGGGAATTACAAAGCCATAGGCATCATCATCCTTCACTCTACCCCAGAAAAGCTGCCACACTTGATGAAGTGGAATAAAGTTTCCTATCACACTTGTCAAACAAATGCATGATTTCTTTATACTTTATTTATTCTCTAGAAATTGCTCTACCAATATCTATTCATGTAGGAAGTATCTGATTAATGTTTTAATCTTAAAGGTTAAGCATTGACCTGCAATCTTTCTAGAAAGTGTTGCTCAAGTGGAATGTCATGCACTTTAAGATTTATCTTACTGTCTACCATCAGCACCCTTTGTTTTTCATAATTAGCTTTTTGTCCTTAAAATGTGGCTTAAATTCATAGTCCATAGTTCAGTAAGTGGTCCATAATTTACTTTAAACATATTTGAAAATAGAAACAAAATGTAATTTATCATCATGTTTTTTACATTCTTTCTAATTAGTCCTATACCAGTATTTTAATTCCTGTTGAATTTGTTGGATTGCTTTGCAATGGAATGATGGGTATTACTATATATAATCTGTATAATCATATTTTCTCCCAAAATTATTTTTTGGATTTATTTATTTTTTTAATTTGTTCTAATTAATTATACATAGCAATAGAATGCATTTTGACACATTATATACCAATGGAGCACAACTTCTCCTTCTTCTGGCTGTACATGGTGCAAAGTCACACCAATAATRTAATCATGCATGTATGTAGGGTAATAATGTCTGTCTCATTCTACTCTCCCTCTCATCCCCATCTCTGCCCCTCACTCCCCTCTGCACAATCCAATGTTCTTTCATTCTTCCCCACCCGACCCCAGTCTCATTATGAATTAGCATCCACTTATCAGAGAAAACATTCAGACTTCCCAAAATGATTTGAAGAGACTTTTCTTTATTCCAGTTGCGGTATAAAAATGATACAAACTTCCCCCTTGATATTATTGCCAAATAGAACAAATTCTCTCTGGTCTTAGCAATGAAAACAGATCCAAACAGCCTAGTTCATCAGTAGGCCATAGGGATTGGGGGAAAAGGATCATAATGGATGTGACCTACTTTCAATCTTTGTCACCAAAACTAACCCCAAAGAGGGCCATTTTGGCCTGTCCTCTCCTGCCTTCTTGGCAGCCATCAGTCCTATTCCAACCAGGGTGCATAAAATTATTGAAGCAGGAGCCAGTCACCCAGAGAGAATTTAGCTAGCAACTAGCAATCTGTGGACAAAGTACCAGTGACAGTTTCCAGGAGCAATAAGTACTATTTGTAAGAATGGCAGCATCTGTAAATTAGTAATGGAAGAAGAGAACTGAAATAAGGAGGATATATTTGTAATCGAGAAACTAGAGGTTTTTAATTGTGTTTTTCTTTAAAAGAAGCTTTGTGTATATTACTTATTATAATAGGAGAGCAATCATTGCCAAGACAGATCTACATCAAAAGCCTAACCACCCACCGCCTCCCCCACAGCTCACTACAGGCAACCTTTTTTAGCAACTAGAAAGCAACAGCTGCTCTTTCATACAAGGCCATTAAATTCGCTTACCTAGGTGAGCATAATCTCTGATGTATTTATATTGCTTTGCTTCGTACACTATGTTTTCTATACATGTTAGATCATAGTTTCCGAATCATCTACAATTTAAATGCTACCTCTAATTTTACATATATCTGCTTAGTAGCTGCCATTTACTAAGCACAGGGCTGGATGTCAGAGGTAAACAGATGCATTATGCCATCCTTGCCCTCAAGCAGCTCATATCTTTCTTTAATGCATATGAGAATGGTCACATGCATTCTGGAGAGAAACCTAACTGAATAATGAAATTCGCCCAGGAAAGAAGTAACTGACAGAGAGCATAATTTTCTGCCTAAAATCTATATTAATCTGATTCAATGGAAGATTACAAGATGCATATGCAGTGTAGCAAATGGTATATAGCTCAGCTCCAACTAAAGTTTTTTAACTAAAAATAATCTTCAACTATTTTTATACAGATGATGAGATATTTGCTTTTTTCTAGGCAGAATTTGAATTAGCATTTTCCAGAAATATTTAGGGTATACCATTTCAGTATATGTATGTGAGCCAAAAGCCTATTTGATAGGTCAAAATTATGAGAGGAATAATTTTGCAATTGTGTCTGGTGAAGTGCAAAGGAGGGAAAAGAAAGGTCAGAGTAAAGAGGAGTCACTGGTTGCATTAAAATTGTGTAATCAAAGCCATTCTGTAAGTGATGTGTATGATTACTGTATGCATACYGGCTACATAAAAAATCAGCATTTGAAATAAAACAGGGTTTCCCAAACTGTAGTCGTTCCTAGAATAAAGAATCCTGAGATCACAAAAGTTTGGGAAGTATCCATTAGCATGTTAAAATTTATGCTAGGTCCTATGGTGGGAAGTAGAGAAATCTGATCACTTAATTTAGCTCAGTCTTTCCAAAATTTTCTGCTTTTATCATATAGCATGAAAGTGTCTCAGACTACAGCTCTGGTGGACAAGAATTATCAGTTGATATTCTTTATTTCAATTCAATTTCTATTTTGAGACCTCATTGTATATATGTGAGAACTGTGAGAGCTTAGACATGTGATCTCACATGATCTCAACCAAGCTTGAATCAAAGTTCTAATAAGCTGAAAAAGTACCAAGGGGCCAGTGTGCATGTGCTGTGGGGCCATCCTGTCCTAATTCTCCCCATGTGTCTCTGCCAACCTTTGCCTTCCCTGTCCTCTGAATCACCTTTTGTCTCAGGTCATTCAACTCTCTCCACTTTATCCCATTCTTGGGGAGACAGAAATCATTCAGCTTCTTTYATTCATCACTGGGATCTACCACCATCACTACTATCATCACTTCTCCATCCACCTTTCTATCTCCATATTATTTGGGGGGAAGGTGTATAGGTGCCATGTTCATAGAAATTCCAACTTTTTGAGTCCAAGGTCTAGGAGTTCTCTGTGTTTCTGCTTTCTTCCCTATCAAATCCTTTCATTCAGACACATAGTGCATGATGCTCTTGCTTCTTTAATTGAGGGAAAGAAAAGAAACCACTAACAAGAGGATGGCAAAAGTAGATTTAGCAAAATGTTGACTGATGATTGTTTCACATGTAGGACACTAGTCACAGCTTGGAAGCATGAAACATTTGCTTGGGGCCAAGGCACCTTGAGGAGTTACTATTTTGCTGGGAACTAGTTTAACAAGAGAAAGAAGAGAGGAAGTTAGGGGAGAAGGTATTCATTATGACACTTTGCTAAGATTCAAGGCTTCTTTCATCTGGACAATGGAAGGCTAAAACTCCAGAAAACCAGAGACAGCATCTAGAAATTAGCTTTAGAGCATCAAGAGAAATTTTTAAAAACATAAAACAAAAGCTGAGTTAATCACAGATGACACCTGACCTACCATACATTGGGGTAGTTTCAGAATAAGTCTGTAGCCCTAGCAATTTAGAATGCATCATGGAGAAAGACAGTTCCAAGACTGTGGCAAGTTCACTTGGCAGATTCTATGGGACAACCTGGTACTTAATGGGATACTTAACCCTTAATGGGATAACCCCTGCCTCCTCCYCAGTGTAATTTCTTAGCAGCTCCTCCCTAGGTGAGGACAGAGGCCAAAAATCAAGACTGCTTTCGCAGTTACCTCTGAGAATGCAGAAGACATTTGACTCGGGTTGCCTAATATTTTAAAAATTCACCTGTAATTTTATCCACATGATTCATATTAGATATCAAGTTCCATTTTGTTATTTAGCTATAACTCTAAAATCCCAGTTAGGTCTTCTCTACTTCAGAAGTGTCTGGATCAAGTCCAGTTTCCCTCTGATCATGATGCTGATAACATTTTCTACTTGTGTCTGAATCTCCTTAAGTGTTGGGTCCTCGCTGCCAACGATGACATTAAATAGAAACAACAGAAGAGAGAAGCTTATTCTTTCTTAATAGTGCCATAAACAAAACTGTGGCTTCAGCTGATGTTTCAAAGAGGCTGCTCATGCGCGATTGAGCAGTTTGCACACTGCCCAAAGAAAGTCCGGGAAGTGGCAAATGGCAGCTTGAAGCCAGTATGAGGGCTTGAGTGCAAGAAGAGCTTCTTGCTGTGCTCAGCTGCAGAAGTGTGGACACGCTCTCTCTACACTTTTTGTAATTTGCAGAAAGGCCTTGAATATGCAGGCAAATTCCCTCAGTCTTTAGCTGACTGGCAGGTGCAAGGTAGTAAGAACACAGTCTTGCAGTATAGCCACACACCTTTATACTCCAGCCACTTTTTTCTGTACCTTTGTCAATGCTGTCCCTCCTCCCTAGAACACTGTAGTCCTCCCACTGCTCTGCCTGAGGCTAACCCTGGTCATCTCTTAAAATTCTGCTCAGTCATTCTGAACAGGCCTTTGTAAATCCTAATCCGAGTAGGTTGTACCTCTTCTATGCTTTGCTGATAGTACTTACATAACTCTGGTTGATCTGTTGTCAGATTGTTTAAGGAATATTCGTTTTCTGTGGACTAAAGACTGAATGTTATTTATATGCATCATGTAAAAATACTCAGTGGCTTTTTTTTTTTTTGAGGAAGAGATAGTATGACCATAGGCCTCAGATTTTAACCCAAAGTTGTTGGAGAAATGATGGAACACAATGAGATTTAAAACATCTCCTCCATCCTGTTGCTTTCTTTTCTCGTTACTGTTCCTCTCCTCTTCTGTCATTCATTCTCTCTCCCTCTCCCCCCACCCTTTCCTCTCTCTAATATTCTTCCTAAATTATCAACAGCAGCAACTCTTATTATATAACTGCATGTGTTTTCTGGAATCTTATTTGCCTTTAAAGGGTATCTGTTTTAAATAGCTCAATTTGATTTGAAAAAGTGAACAAATGTGGAATGGAGTAGTGACTCTATGACAAGGTGCTCATCTTTAACAAGGAATCCAATAAACTGCCTTCTTTAAAAATGCCCTCATTCTGCCTTATCTATGAAAGTGAGAGTGCTTAAGATTTTAAATTACAATTAATTTTATTAGAGCGATAATCTGTGAAAATGAAAAGGGTCAAAGGACTGTGATTTTTAACTAATTTTTATTAGATAAATCATATAACAGATTATAAAGTGATATTATTAGTAATAAAAGCATATGATTAGTAACATTGTATTTTCTGATCCTAGCATTGTTTGTTCACTCCAAATGGAACATTTTATATGTCTCTTTGAAGACCATTCTGTGTATAAAAACGGACATGCACATACACCAGCAATAAAGCACAAATGTACTGCAGAAAATGGTCCCACTTTCAATAAAGCAGCATATGAATTTTCTAATATGTATATTCACAAATTTTTCTTACATTTCCTGCAATGAAAAAGACAGATGCTTCTTTCATTATTCTATTCAATCACAGTTTTGTTGCTTTTTTTTCTTCCATGGGCTGAGTTTCTTTTATTATAGGAGAATTTTGTACTTAATTGGTATCTGTGTTAAGAGAAATTCCCAGATCTTGTTATATAATGCCATCTCTCCGAGGGCAGTAAGTTATTTTGAGGAAAGTGAACTGAAAATAATAGGTCTTTGTTGACTGTAATAATAATCACGGTACCTCCTTATTCTAAGTGGAGCAAAGTCACTCTCTTAGCAGTAAACAAAATGAGATGTGAATATATGCAGATATGATCATAAGCTCTGAATATCAACTAAGGTAAGAATACCCCTGAAGGGATTATGGGGGAACTTTATGCATTAAAATATTGTTTCATATTTTGTAATAGAGAATTAATATATGAATTTGTGGGCAGCAGTAGCCTTCAAAGATGTTTATATAACATTCATAATCATATTAACCATTTTGTAAAAATAATTAAAACTATTAATCTCATTTTTTAAAATTCTGATAAAATATTAAATCCATAAGAATATTATGGTCCCCATAAATTTTCTGGAAAACTTAGAATAATCATTGATCAATGTATCTGTACCAAATTAACAGCTGTGTCCCATAATTGCAGTGTTATTAATATGTCCTTAATATAACATAATGAATTTAAACCATTTCTATTCCTAATGGCAGAGAGCCTTGCTCTAAACAATGTCTTTCACATCTGAGTAGATGAGCATAACATAGCATTCTATGGAAGTAAAACACTCTATATTTTTGTTCATTTTCAATTTTGACCCTTGCTGCAGAAGTCTACTTTGATAAGATACTACAGGTAACTGAGCTGGCCCTCCCATAGACTGTAGATGCCCTGTTTCATTTCTCCTTTGTCAAGTATGGCTTAATATGAAGTGTGGGAAAATGTAACTGAAAGAGATGACAGAGCAGAAGATAAAGAGGCATTGCCTGTAAGGATGTATCTGTGTGTCCGTAAGGTGATGTGACATTATAAGACAGCATTTAGATCAGGGAAATTTTGATACTATAGTTTTTTAAAAAAAATCACCTCTGTGATGCTTTGTAAATAATGACAATTAATATGTAAAATAGTTCTCGGTTGATTAAAACAAAATACCTGGATTTTGCTAATTTGAGTCATGGGCACGGTTGAGCAGCACCTTATGTCATATTGTTATAATTGGCAAAAATACCTACTTAGACTTCCCCTTAGTAAAGACTCTTCATTTACAAACTACCTCTAAATCCACATTCAGTTACATACAAATCCATTACTAATTCAGAGATACGCTCCACCCAAATAAAAATAAAAATCTCGTGAGTCACAGTTTTTATTTAAGAAATTCTGTACTCTCGCTACTAAATTTCTCGTGAATTGTTTCCTCCTAACAAGCTCTTGCTGCAAGAACAACAACAACAACAAAATGTGAACCTTGCATATTTGTACAAAAAAAAAACCCCAACCARTTGGTGTAGAGATACATAATGTGTTCTATTACAAAGGCTTTGCAACATGGACCTAAATTCTTTGAGAGTGCCAGCAGCAGATTTCTTATGCTTTGGTCTCGTCTTCAGTGCCAGTGACAAGATTTTATTTTGTTTTGTTTTTGTCTGGCTGAAATCTAATTACTAGTGGGTCTGGCAGGATTTTGTCTTGTATCTACACTGTGGTTATAGAAAAACATTTTTTAATCACCTTGCATTTGAGACAAGGAACACTGAAAAGGAAAAGCCATCATCCTGGGAGAGTAGTAGCATGAAAAATATGTAAACATTGCCCCAAGATGTGTTTCATGAGTTTCCCCCAAATACTCATGGATGCAATTTTTCACCTTAGGTGTGCAGAAGGCTATTTTGGACAACCCTCTGTACCTGGAGGATCATGTCAACCATGTCAATGCAATGACAACCTTGACTTCTCCATCCCTGGCAGCTGTGACAGCTTGTCTGGCTCCTGTCTGATATGTAAGCCAGGTACAACAGGCCGGTACTGTGAGCTCTGTGCTGATGGATATTTTGGAGACGCAGTTGATGCAAAGAACTGTCAGCGTAAGTCCTGAACTATTGATGCCCCTGACAGAATTGATGTATTATACCTCAAAGTAGCTGATGAGTTCTTGAGTGGGGATTGGAGACTAGGAAATTATCTGTAATACATGGATGATAGATGCACAGCATAGACAAGAGTCTGCATATTCCAGAATCTATCTTTCTTTGTACTAATAGCAAAAATCCTTTGAAAATTGCTGCATTGTTGAAGTGGTATTCCTTTTTATTTTTTCAAATGATACACATGTTTCTATTTTTAAATGACCTCATATCCATAGTAGGAAAGAAGAATTTGAAAATTTAGTAGGACTTTTCTTTTGGTGTTATGTTTTATTGTTTTGTTTTGTTTATCTCAATTCTAATAATTTTTTTGTTGACCTAAAGTTCTTGGCTCAGATCTTTCATCATTACCTGTCAATAGGTGTTATTTGGTTGTGCTTTCCTGTGTGAACTTTACAGTCTTGTATTTTTTAATAGGTGTAAAACTCTGCCAATGTTTTCACACGCTGGCATTGTAATTATTGAATGATWAACTTTCATCTTAGGACTATGCATAGGATATTACTTCTGTGTTTTCCTTCACAAAAGTAGCTACTCTATGGCTTCATCCATTTTAGTACAATTCACCCCCCTCCCCATCTTTGCCTTCTTTGCTGTATTATTAAGTGTGGCACAGAATTTACTAATGCTTTATAATAGTGGTAATATGATATGCAAAGGGAATCTAGCAGTGGAAAGGCAAATGGGTTTATGAGTCCACATTAGCACTCGAGTGCTTTACACAGCCATTGTCAGCTTCATCTGCTGTCAAAATCTTTAGGAGGAACAGGATATTAAGAGTAGCCCAACCATTCACTTCTGCCAAGAGACTCCTGTAATCATTCAGGTAAGGCCCAGGGATTGCAGAATTACAGAAACCAGAGAAAATGAAGTTTGTTATCATCTTTGCTTTAAGCACTACAGGCCCACTAGGGTTCCTCATTTCACTAGAAAATGTGTCTTCACCTAAATTGAGAAGGTGAGTGTGAACTTTGTGTCATACAYGTATGATAATGTGTTCAATCAAAAATTAATCACTCTGGAACAACTACTGTCTGTCAATATCATATATAAAGTGATTTTAAGCAAAATTTCCAACAGGTTCAGAATGACTTTAAACATCATAGGTTTTTAGGCATTTTTGTAAAATCATCAGGAACTGAAGAAATTCTTCTGTTCAAACAAATCATCTGGGATCCATGTTTTCTAGCTCTGTGACGCTGAGGAAGACATTTGACCTCAATAAGACTTAGTTCCATCACCTCCAATAAGTTTGCTACAGGAGTTAAAGGACATACATAGCACATAGAGAGCATCCAGGGAATCCTTGTGATCTGGAGATGCCCACATGTGGTCTCTTGTCTGGTAGTAGTGCAAATAGTAGTCATGAATATCAATGGTTCACTAATTCTAGATTACTTTAGTCATTTATCAGCCTTTCTTTCTCTGTCTTCTAATAATCCCTATGTAAAGATGAAGATATTATTCCAATCATTTTAGCATGATAAACTAATGATTTGTGGCATAAAGTTTTAAGAACAGAGGAGAATGTGGGAATAACAACATTTGAACTATCTCCAATTTTTGTACTACTTGCCATGAGGTATAAATATGATTATGATTTTTAATGCCCTCCAGGATATAATTATGATTAAAAATGTAAAAATCCATTTATTATCTATTTTACAATTTTTTATACAGTAGTTCCTCTACATATGATAGTAAACCCTCAAGAAAAGAAAGCTCATGAGAAAGCATTATTTAAGTTGCTTCTGGATTTGTTCATGAAAAGTTGACCACTACCAAGAAGTATATTTTGCTTTTTGAATTTATATATTTAGTTTGTTTTATACTCTTCCATTAAATGCCCCTTTTACAAAATTCAGTGTTGTTTTTGTTATTTTTAAGGTACATTAATCACCAGAATATTTATGTAAATTTAATTTTATAGTACTTACTTCTTAAAAAAAGGATTTCTATATTATAAATAACTTAAGATTTTTTAAATTTACATATAAGACACTCAAGAAATTTACATAAAGAAATTGATAGTGTGCACCACAAATCAGTATCCAAATGAATGTGGATATTTAAAAAGAATATTTGTCTCTAGCCCTTTTTTAAACACCATCTATGAACTAACTGTTCCTTAAGCTATTGCCTGAGGAAAATTAATCAGCTAATTTGACTGGTTGCTGGGTAGGCTAGTTTTCYAATGTCCAACATACTAGAATCAAGTTAGCAGATACTGAAGACTAAACTTTTCCGGAAAAAAAAAAAATCAAGCAATTTTTAGAAGAGCAGTAAAGGAGAGTGAAATCTGGAGCCAAGTGAAGAGAACAATAATAGCATCGGCTAATAGAGTAGCCATTATAACATGTTAATAGGTAATGTTTAACAGCTATTGTACCAAATTTGCCAAAGCCACGTATGGAATAGTCTTAATTCCCATGCCATCTGCCCCCACACAATTTCATTCTGTTATCAACGCCATTATATGCATCATGACACATGCATTTGTAGAGTACACAGGGAGCCATTAATTAGTTATTTTTGTGAATACCACTTAGGTTTTAGACTGATTTATTATATGTTTCAGAATAACATCAGACAACTTCATAACACAAAAATGACAATAGATTATTGAAATCAAATATATTTTCCATCTTTGCAGACAAATTGTAATAATAAAGTGATTTTTAAAAATTACAATGTTCTATTTCTAATAGACTTGAAGCAATGTTTTCATCTTATATACTTTTATAATCATGTCAAACTCATTTTTTGTACTTAAAGACTGACACAGAATAAATAAACATTATTTTGAAATAATTAATCCAGTATTACTTGATTAATGATGACATTAGTATTATGACATGAATGCAATCAATTTTAGTAATTTTTTGGAATTATTTTGGCCTTAGAGTCAGTATGTATGACTTAAAATGGGATTATAATATTTTAAATGTTACCCAATGTATCTATGAAGGAATTACCCAGCACTGTACCTGAAATCAGGGATCTGCAAGTCTCATTAATGTTCTGAACCCAGCAATATCTAACTGGCCTTGAATATCTTGAATGACAACGTAAATGTTTGAATAGCATATGATGTCTGGAGAATTGTACCAAAGACTTGATATAAATTCTCTCTACAGCTGATAGAGTTATTGTAGGGATAAAACTAATARAATTCTTGAGAGCAATTAGTAAGTCAGAAATATTCTATTACTGAATTTAGGTGTCAGTGTTACCACCTGGGCTATATTTTTATTTAACAAACACGTTAAGACTAGGAACATTTTGGATTTCAGATTTTCCAACCAGGGATACTCAACCAGTAAAGTTTATGCAACTATATTCACAAATTTAGAAAACTTCAAACTCTGAAATATTTCTGGTCCTTGGCACTTCATATAAAGCATATTCAACCTGTATTAGAATTTTTTTTCTCCAGCCACTGATGCCTTTTCTCTCTCCAGCCTGTCGTTGTAATGTCAATGGCTCCTTYTCAGAGATTTGCCACCCTCGAACAGGACAGTGTGATTGCAGACCCAATGTGCAGGGACGCCGGTGTGATGAATGTAAGGTAAGGAAGAGCTCATCGGTGAATTACTTTCTTGAAAATTTTCATTGGCTTTCAATATCATGTTTTAGACACCTTAATGTATTCACAAAATGGTTCAGGATTATCTAATTCCACAGATAGAATTACTATGATCAGGAAAATATATGCTCAAATACAGCAAAAACTTATTGTATGTTGCAGTTGACCTGCAAATGACATTTCTTTGGCAGATAATTTGTATATTTCCTATAATGCAAATGTTTCTGAAATAGCCATCATGAATATAATCCTGATCTTTTGGAAAGTAAACTACTCTTTACATTTTTGGCAGAAAAAAAATGTGTTGCTCCTTTTGCTTAGCAAGTACCTTCTTCTAGTTCTCATTTAAAAGCTAACTCCAGTGAGCACTCTACTTAGCAAAAGTTTCAAAAGAAAAGCTAATTTATATAATGTTTACAGATATCATTGTGCTAAAATGAAATTTTCAGTTTCAATATGTTGATCTCAATTTCTGAACATATCAGTTGCCTGCCTTCAGCCGGGTGAGTGCCTTGAGATTCATTCATGACAGTGGAAGGATTTGCACTACCTCTTTTACTTAAATACATTTTATTGGTGATAAAGACTATTAAGCAGAAGCCAAAACTTCTCAGATGTCAAACTGACCTTTCTGCAGAAAGTTGGAAAATATAATCTGCTACTGTCTTTTGAATAATACCATATGCTTTTTTGTTGTTCTTATTTTGTTTCATTTTATTTTTCTGTTGGCAATTAAAGCCCAGTATGTGGTGGGATCCAGAGAAGCAAGTCTGTGTGCCCTGTGACTGCAATCTCATGGGCTCAGTGTCACCCCAATGTGATACAACAGGAAGATGTATCTGTAAATCAGGCTTTATAGGGAAACAGTGCAACCTCGGCAGGCAGGTGCATCAACAGGAGGAGCAGCCACGGAGAGCACAACGCGTGCTGGGGTCTCCCAGGAGGTGGGGGTCCAGCAGTTCCAGTGGGTGTCCTCGGGGAGCCTATCGGGCCCCAGCTCGGGTAATCCCAGAGGCGCTGCATGGCTCGTGCCGGGGCATGTTGTGTTCCGTGTGCCTCAGCTGAAGTTCCCTGGCGGCATTTTACCAAATAACAGCTGCTAAGTGTGCAAATTGCAAATGCAAACATTTTTTCAATTTCTGATTGGAGCCTTCCCTTTTTAAAAATAACCATCCTTATGCTTTTAAAAATATATTCAAGTTCATAAGTTTAATAAAGTGTCAATTGGCCATGGTTGGGTAGAAATCAAATAAAAATTTATTTATAGGAACCTCAGGTATGATTTGGTAAAAACTCACTTTAGAAGTAAACAGATGAGAAATATAACAAAGAAAGTGACTTGCCTAAGAAAATTCAGAGCTTTGATATAACATTTGTCTGATATCATAATTAAGGGTTTTGCTAACTTTCTCATCACTTTTTGTTCATGTGTGCATCAAACACAAGAAACACATTTGCACACACTATAAAAGCACAACATACACAAAATAAGGAAAGAAAGTTGTTTTCAGTTACAATTTGTTCCCCTTCTCACTAGGCAAACAAAACAAATGCTAAATAATAAGGGAGAGATGGAAGGCAGGAGGGAAAACTGCTTCTCATAGCCTTGTGGCTGAGTAACAAGGGACAAGATTTGCCATTCTAGATGAAGGGTCTGTGGAGAGTTGAGGGTAGGGGTTAAAAGGAGAGTGCAATATAAACAGTAAAGAGGAAGAAAAAAAAATATTATTTTATTTCTTGGTTCATTAGAGTACATTTTAAGWAAAGGAGTTCTCATATCAGACTGACTGCCTCAGATCAATCCCAGCCTCTTGGCTTCATGGCTGTTAAGTTCCTTGATCTATCTGTAATTTAGCTTCTTCGTGTATTTGCTGTAAGACCCACTTCATAAAGTTTGTGTCRTCTTATATCCTTCAAAAAGAAAATTCCAAAAGATTTTAGGGGAAAAACATGTATGAAGAATGAAAGGGGAAGAGCAGAGCATGCTGGGAGACTTCTGCTACAGTGGCCCTCTGACTCCTGGGCAAAGAGAAAAGGAAAGATTGGTTAGGAAAGGCTTCATTCAGTGCATCCTACCAAAATCCCAAATTTTGACCAGACTAATGGGAAATGCCCATCAGGGCAAAGAAATGTTTGCCCATTGGTGGAATCCTAAATTTGGCAGGTAGGTTCTGGTGCCTTACTGTAATTAGCCACTGACTGGAAAAGCCTGACAAAGCATAGACTGAGCTTGACTTAGTCCATTCAGGAGGCTATATCAGAATGGCATTAGACTGGGTGGCTTATAAACAACAGAAATTCATTCCTCAGAGTTCTGGAGAAGATTCAGATCAAGGTGTTAGCAGATATCTGTCTGGTGATAGCCCACTTCCCCTAGATGGCTGTCTAAGAAGACAGAATAACTTCTCATGGTGAAGAGATTTCTTTGGGTCTCTTTTATAAGGCTTCTGATCTCCTTCATGAGGGCTCCACCCTCATAACCTAATTATCTCCCTTAAAACCCACCTCAGATTACCATCACTGTGAAGTTAGGATTTCAAAATATGGAATTGGGGGTGGGGACATCAGCTTTCAGCCCATCGCTAAGCTCTTTGATGGATCCAAAAGACCAGAAGCTGGAGGTTATGAGGCATCAACATTCCACACTGCAGATGGCTTGCAGGGAGATGTGATGAGGCACCTCCAAGGCTGTTTGAAGGCAATAGTGAGAACAGCAATAATATACTAACATGGAGCAGTCAGGTGGTCTAGTGCATGCATTATTAGTATTATTGGTATTACTGTAGTTACTAAATGAAAAAATCTTTAAAACATTTTTTTTTCTTCACAAACAAAATGAATTAATTGAAAATAAAAGAAAGGRATAGTAACTGATTAAAATGCCTCTAAAATAAAAATTTAGCAGAAAATCAACTCTCATTCATTTGTTTTCCTACATACCTCACAGTACTATTTTGTCTTGAGACCACTTAGTTCTTGAGGAAGTGTGTATGAGAATCCAAAGCCAGGCTTCAGAGAAATTTCTTTGGCAATTTACTTACATTTTCCAGGCCTTGATTTTACTACTTTCCAAGAAAGTAATGGCTGTGACAGTTTATTCCACGGTTGCCCTGTGGACTAAACTAATTCATATTTGTAAAATATGAATTTTAGACTAGTGCCTGGCTCATAGGAAATAATATATAAGAGCTAGTTTTTGTTATTTCCCTCAGTGAAAAGAATGTAAAGGAGTGCATCCAGCTTGCTGCTGGGAGTGGACAAGTACTCTTCTCCGTATTTGTTACTTCATTAATCTCAATTATTGACCAGGAGTGTTTGCTCCTTTAATTTGTTTCCTAGGGAGGTTTTCCTTAGGCTTTGAAATCAATTTTTGAATCCCCAATTTATTAAAATTTTATTAATGAAGTATGGTAGCATTATTTTGGTGTAAACTAATTTTTAAAACAATATTATTTAAATACTTGAAAAGTATTTCGTATTTCTTCCTGTATATTTACATTTCYTCCTGTATCTTTCCTTGCATAATCAACTTTGGAATTTTTGATGCTATGATTTAATAAATTCATTCAATATTTGATCAACTTACCCATTAAAGGTATGTGCATATATATGCATAGGTGCATACCTATGTATGCCTAGGCTAAATTAAGAAAATTTAGGAAATAATGATGAATATACAATTCAGCTTCAGTAAAGAAAATGCAATAAATAAAGACAAATGGGAAGTATCCAGATATTTTACAGAACTGTTTTAATGTGTTAGGTTCTAGACATGTTTTTATATGTATGTTTCTATTTGTGTGTTTCTGGGTGGGATGCATGTCGTATGTGATTGAAATCATAAAATCTGTATAATTCCAAGTGCTGCATTTTAGAAATTTTCCTTAATGCTATATCATAAGCATATTCATATCATTAAAACTGTTTCAAAACAGATTTTAATTATTGCATAGTATTACATAGCATGAATATGTTATAATTCATTCAGCTATTTCACTAACATAGAACATTTAAGTGCCTCTGCAGTTATACGCCATGATAAAAAAATATCGTAATTGGCATGCTTGCATTTTAATCATTGTTCTAATACCCGATAATTTCTCTAGGTCAACAATCTAGAATCTTACATTTAATCATTGATTTTATGAATAAAARTATTGTGTTTTAGTTTTTCTTTACATAGGTGAATTTAAATTCAATATTGGGTCATTTGTTGAAACGATTACTTACTTTCTTCTTTAATATAATGAATTCTAAATTATAACTAGAAATAAAAATAAATCGAGTAGTAAATATAAAGAATAAAATTATTTTTAAACTCAATCAACCCATTTCTCACTTAAACAATAAAACTACTCTTAGCCATTTTAAAATTCTAATCATTGGTATGAATTTGTTTTCTAGAACTTAGTTTTAATACTGCTAATAATTGAAAAATATATAATGAGACTTATTCATTTCTCTTTGGGTGACTCACATTAAGTGGCGAGATTTAGTTTTTTTTAACCCAGAAGTAATTATTAAGTCTAATTTTCCAAAATAGGGATTATTTTTACAAAGAAGTAATTACTGACACTAATTTTCCAGATTGAAATATCATAATAATGTGACACAGTTTATACTTAAAAAGACAACTGCGACACACTTTAAGTAGGATATATGCTTTTCTTTTTTCTCGTCGAAGGGATTTTTCAGTCCATCAGCATTTTCCCATGCAGCCACTCTAAGCCTGATAACATGCATTTCAAGAAAGTCACCTGAAGCAAATGTGGCCACAGATGAGTGATGGGCATCTAAGTCATTACAGAATAAAGATTTCTCTTTACTTTTCTAATAGAGCACTTTAATATGTGTTCTCACACATCAGTTTTAATTATTAGAATAAAATCCAAGAAACTAGATGTTTGCCAAACCAATTATTTGGTCACTGTAGGCATAACCTGTAAATTACATTTATAATGTGCATACTGTAATGATGACTAGAAGTATTTATGGATCCATGACAAAAAAGTAGATCACATACTATTTGATAAATACTATTTTAAATTTAAACTTCTGGTCAATCATGTTTAAAGCATTTTTATTAGAAATACATAAGATCTGAAAGTAATCAATTCAGAATATTAGGAATAAAGTGAATAACATTCTAAGTGAAAACCAGAAATACAACCCACAGCTTACTTCATACTGCTTCTAAAACCTTGAGAAGTATAGGGCAAGGCTGATGGAAATACAATAGGCAAAAGATAGTGCCTAATTCTGCTATTTATTTTGATGGTCCTTCAAAGTAGCTGAACTTGCCCTTTGGTTATCATTGAAAGTACCCACTCAATTAAATGACAGTCCAGTCATCATGACATCATTGAGGAACCCTAGTAACCTATAGGTTCTCTTTTTTCTGCCTGATCCCTTGCTATTGTGTATATTGTTTCTTTGTGAGTTAATCAACTGAAATTTCATTTTTCTTTTTCCTTTTCTATATCAGCCTGAAACATTTGGCCTACAATCAGCCAGGGGTTGTGTTCCCTGCAACTGCAATTCTTTTGGGTCTAAATCATTTGACTGTGAAGAGAATGGACAGTGTTGGTGCCAGCCTGGTGTGGCAGGGAAGAAATGTGACCGTTGTGCCCGGGGCTATTTCAACTTCCAAGAAGGAGGCTGCACAGGTCTGTAGACAAGGCTGGAGTTCTGCATTTTGGTGACTGATTTTGATAACTGTTCATTTTTTAAAAGGAAATAATTGTTGACAAAATATTTAATAATAACATATTTTAAATTTGTTACTGAGTAAAATAYGTTGGTATTTGAATAGTATCTTATAAATAACTGTGCTTGCAAACTATTCAATAAAAATCCATCAGCAGATCCCAAATCTGCTATGTCCCTCCCTATCTGTGACCCCAATTTGACCATTACTTGATGACCACTGCTGTTTAAGTCAAATGTTCAAGTTTYCCAGTGTCAATGTTATCTCTCAGCTTTCCCTTCTCGTAATGCAAGCTTGATACAAGGATCAAGGAAGGTAATTTTTTTTCTCGTACAAAAAATACATTTTTATCTACTTTTAGCTGTCTTGAAAACTGTGATGTTCTGGGAAAGAAACAGGATAACTCTAAATGTTTAGTTTGTGGGGAAAAGCAGTCATGTTTCTAACCATGATTCCTTAGAGTTTTCCTATATCCATTCACAGCCTTCACACAAATCATGAACTAAGAAAACATCAATTAGCACACTACAGATGAAAGAAAAGATTGAATATTCACTCCTATTCATGTRCCACTAATTTAGAATAGACCCTATTTCAACAGTCATGGGGTGGAATCTTACTTTTTCTTATGAAGTTCATTGATTGAACATGGATTGATACTATCATACTGTACTCTCAGCACTGTGGTAAGACTTGAAAACWTTGTTGACTCTTGTCACGGCTTTATGTGAGAATCAGCGAGAATAATATTTAAAATTATTTAAAGAACCAAATCTTTCAGACATTCTTCAGCACTTGAGATACATGATTTTTATCATAAGCCAAGCTTATTATAAATTATTTGAAATGTGATCATTGAAGATCTATGAGTGCATATATATCTGTAGGCCAATATTGGCATATACTAAAAATTATAAGGCCACATTTTAAAATATAATCTATTATTTGAATCCAATTTACTCTAACATTTTTACTTAATGGAAATTAACATGCTAATACTGTACATTCAAATACATCTAGTAAGAGAAGGTATAAGTGAAACCAAGAATATTTTCTAATATACAAAATGGTGATGGCATTTCAGGAATGCAGACCTAGTAGCATTTTAAGCCAAAGACATAGAATAGAAAAAATAATGCACCAAACAGGCAGGATAACATTATGATTGAGAGCATGACTTGCACTGAACAGCCTGGATTTATCTCATGGTTCCATCAGTAACTAGTTTTGTGACCTTGACTGTATGATTTAGCCTTGCTTTCCCTYCGTAAAATTCATCTGTTATACTAAGATTATAATAGTATGTGCATCCTAGGGTTTTGGTGAGAATTAGTTGAGTTAATGGCTATAAAATATTTAGAGTAATGACTGACATATAAGTATTATGTGTTTATCATTATTATGATCTTTGATCTTTGTCAGTATTATTAATTAGGATAAATATAATGCTTTAGGAGAAGAAAATTAACTAATCACCTAAATCTGCTTCCTATTCAGTGTTATGATTCCATTGAAGATCTACTTAGAGAATTTCTGTTTGCAAGTAGAAATTTAAACTGTCCCAAGATGTATTTAGCACATAAATGGGAACAGAATGATGTTTTTCTTCTTAGTGAATGGCACATGTAAAGTAAATCATGTGATTTAAAATTAGTCACAATAATAATAATAAAAATAGTAATCACTGATATTGATTGTTTAATGTCAAGTATCATGGTAAATATTTTTCACAGCTGCTATGAAATGCTATGTACAATGACAGTGAACTTAATAAGATATCCTAAATGCATTCAGTTAAATGATTTAATCATCATGTAAGCAACTCAAAGTTTTTTCAAAGCATCATTCTCCTATTTGAATTCAAGTATTTTGTGTTTCTTCTCTCATTTCTTTGAAATGAAGTGCTACACTAAAATATATTTTTAGCAGCTGGGCCAACTATAGATAAGTGGTGACATACCTTCTTGTTTCACATGGCTTTGAAGATGGTCTCAATTTGTTTATTTGCATTTTTTCAGAAGAGGCAACTGGTTTACACTCTTCACGTATCATTCATAGTCAAGAAAATGAAATCTATTGAAAAGACATAAGGACAGTGGCAAATAAAAGTATCTTTATATCTAGACAGTGTTCATAATTTAACTGTCTTTAAATATTTGCAAAACTGAAATATTCTAATATTTTCCAATTATATACATGATGTGCTGGATTTATAATCCTGATTTTTATTGTAAATCAGAGTCATCATCAAAAAGGAAAAACAAATCTTTCCAGCATAGTAACAAATATTAATAAACCTAAAATAAATATACAAACAAAATTTTCAACTTTATGATACTGGATATAAGGCATTCTAGTTAATAGGGAATCTGTAACACCAGTTCTTCCTTTTATCAAACTGAACAGGAAATATAAAAAATTTTTATGCTTTAAATTTTGAAATTATTAAATGAAATACAACATATATTGATTGAACAACTCCTCTGTGAAATACACTATACTATGATATAAARGATGAATGAGGTAAGTTTTTATTTCCAAGGAACCTTAAACAGTACCAAAAAATGGAAAATGGAACAAATCAATCCAACCAAAAACTAAATATTTTATATCAATTTTTTCCCTTTTTCTAAAACTCTTCTCTATTTCCCCTCTTTTCTCCTATGAAGCTTGTGACTGTTCCCACCTGGGTAATAACTGTGACCCAAAAACTGGTCAATGCATTTGCCCTCCAAACACCATTGGAGAAAAATGTTCTAAATGTGCATCAAATACGTGGGGCCACAGTATTGTCACTGGTTGTCAGGTGAGTGGATCAATTTTTTCATCAKATAATTTTTGTAGAGATTTTGGTTTTATAATTGGACACTTGAAAATCCAATATGCTATTATAAAACAATACAGAATTATCAGAGAGTGTATTGCAAATATGGGTCAGTATCTTCAGTTTTATTTATAGGAGAGATTATGAAGTAAGTACACATTTCTGCAGCTGCTTCCATGGTATCTACAGAAATAGGGGGAGGAGAAGGACAAAAAAATTATAATAAAACTAASAAATAGCAATAACTTTTTTGCTAGAAGCTGAAATATATCTGCAAGGTATAAGAAAATTAAAAATTGGTGAAGAGAATTTTCTAAAAATCTACAGCGATTGCCCCCAAATTGACAAGATTTATCTGTCAAGAAGTAGTGGAAAGGATTCTGAAAGTCATATTAACAGTCTTCAGATTGGAAAAAAATCTTCATTWTTTTTTTWATTTTTTTTCTGTGGGTTGATGATAGAAAATGCCATGACCAGGCTCCTGTTCAGAGAAATCTATCTAGCATGAGGGGAGAAGGTAAGAATTTATAGGACTGTTGAAAAATTTTAATAGAAGATGCCAAAAGCCTGGATCCAGTTAACAAGCTTCCATGAGGATTCAGGAGTGACATATCTTAAGCTGATATGAACTGAGTGATTTGACAGAAAAGAAAGATAAGGCTTAAGAATGATTCCCATGTCTTGCTTCAGAACAAAATAGAGGATACTAGGTACCATTTACTACTAAAGGGATCATAGGGGGAGTAGCAAGTTCAGGAAGATGATGAGTTTGAGGTTCTTATTAACATGTTATATTAATTAAAATATAACTCACGCATTTAAAGTCATGAGCTTTGACCAGTAGTTACAGTCATGTAACCATGCCTTCTGTCCCTTTGCAATTTTGCTTCTAGCACTGTCTTTTTCCATTTCTACACAGTTTCATACATATGGAATCATACTCTAGATCATTCTTTTGTTTTGCTATTGCTTTGGTGAAGCAGGGCTTGGTTTGTCTTTCTTTGTTTAGTGTGATGCTTTTGCAGTCCATCCGTAGCGTTGAATCTACCAGTTGTTTATTCTTTTCAAATGCTTTACAATATTCCCATAGTGTACTATGTTACAACTTGTTTATTTATTTCCCATTTGCTAGGCATTCGACTCACTTCCAGTTTGGAGCTATTAGGAATAATTTTTCTGGGAACATTAGTGCACAAGTCAAAAGCATATTTCTAGACATTTGTTTACATTTCTCTTCATATGAAAGCTTCACATTTTTGCTAACATTTGAAACTCTGACCATTTTTAACTATAAGCAGTCTTTTGGGAATGTTTTGCATTATTTAATGTCCAAAGACATTGGGAGTTGTTTTGTTTATTTATTTGCCATTCATATATTTCCTTCTGTGAAATTTTTACAAATGTTTTCCCCATTTTTATTTTGTGTATTTTAAATAATGAGCTTTAAGAATTCTTCACATATTTAGGATATAAATTCTTTAACATATATGTTCTTTTTATTTATATATGACAGCAGAATGCATTACAATTCTTATTACACATATGGAACACAATTTTTCATATCTCTAGTTGTATACAAAGKWATTCAAACCAATTCATGTACTTTGGATAATAATGATCATCACATTCCACCATCATTTATATCCCYATGCCCTCTCCCTTACTYTCCAATCCCTCTGCCCTATCCTGAGCTCATCTATTCATCCCATGCTCCCTCTCCCTATCCCACTATGAATCAGCCACCTTATATCAAAGAAAACATTTGGCATTTGATTTTGTGGGATTGACTAACTTCACTTAGCATTATCTTCTCTAACTCCATCCATTTACCTGCAAATGCCATGATTTTATTCTCTCTTATTGCTCAGTAATATTCCATAGTATATGTGGAATTAGGCCCCAACTTTCTTAATAAGACTCCTTTGGCAGAAGAATTAAAATCAAGAATCAATAAATGGGATTGACTCAAACTAAAAAGTTTCTTCTCAGCAAAAGAAACAATGTGTGAGGTGAATAGAGACCCTAYGTCTTGGGAGAAAATTTTTACTCTTCACACATCAGATAGAGCACTAATCTCTAGGGTATAAAGAACTCAAAAAGCTAAGCACCAAAAAAAACAAATAACCCAATCAATAAATGGGCCAAGGAGCTGAACAGACACTTCTCAGAAGATGATATACAATCAGTCAGCAAATATATGAAAAAAATTCATAATCACTAGCAATTAGAGAAATGCAAGTCAAAACCACTCTAAGATTTCATCTCACTCCAGTCAAAATGGCAGCTATTATGAAGACAAACAACAATAAGTGTTGGCGAGGATGTGTGGAAAGAGGTACACTCATACACTGCTGGTGGGACTGCAAATTGGTGCAGCCAATATGGAAAGCAGAATGGATATTTCTTGGAAAATTGGGAATGGAGACATCATTTGACCCAACTGTCCCTCTTCTCAGTCTATACCTAAAGAATCTAAAAACAGCGTACTACAGGGACACAGCCACATCAATGTTTATAGCAGCACAACACAATAGCTAAACTGTGGAACCAACCTAGATGCCCTTCAATAGATGAATGGATAAAAAACATATATAGTTTACAACTGTATTTTTCCTAAAATATACCTTTCTTTTCAATAAAAATATTCATTTCATTTTTATAAATGCTGGTTTATTACCTTTTTCTTTTATGGTTCATGCTTTTTATATTTTAAGAAATATCTCTTTTCCCCAAGTTAAAATCCAAAGACTTCTGTCCTGTGTTTTCTTAACTTTTAAATTTTTAGCTCCTAAATTTAGGTTCATTTTGCATAGTAACTTTTATATGGTATAAAATAATGGTCAAAGCTCACCTTTTTAGTGGCTACCCAATTTTTTCAATACCATTTATAGAAAAGACTATCCTTTTTTCCATTGAATTACCTTTGTCTCTTTTTCTAATCAATTGACTGTACATATGTTCATGCCTTTCTGGACTGGTTGATTTCACTGTCTGTATGTSTATCCTTACATCTGGATTACTGTAGCTTTCCAGCAAGGAATGAAATCAGAATTGTGTACTCTTCAACTTTGTTCTTCATTTCCAATATGTTTAGGTACATTTCCAAATAAATTTTCAATTCAGCTTCCCAATTTCTTGACCAAAAAGTCTTCTAGAATTTCATTCATGTTACATTGAATGTGTAGATCAATTTGAAAAAACAAAAAAAATGACTTCTTAAGAATATAGGATCTTCCCGTGTGTGAACATGGCATAACTTTGCATTTATTTAGGTCTTTACRATTTTCCTCAGCAATGATTTATAGTTTGGGGGCATGCAAACCTTGCAGATATATTGTTGAATTTATTATTATTTCATATTCTATGCAAAGGTAAGTACTATTCTTTGTTCCATTTCACTCTCTAATTACTTGTTGCTAGAATAGAAAATCATCATTTTAATACATTACACTTCTGTTCTGTAATCTTTCTAGAGTATAATTCTAGGTGCTTTTTTGCTAGATTTATTGAGGTTTTCTAGGTAGCTAATCATGTCTTCTGCAAGTAAAATTTTACTTTTTCCTTTATAGTCTGTGTAACTTTTACTCATTTTCTTTTTGTCAATAACTTTTACATCTATGTTCATAAGCATATCCAAAGAGTTTTTTAATAGTGTTGTCTGGTGTTGGTATTGGGCTACTGCTAGCTTTATGAAATAGGTTGAAAAGTATTCCTTTCTTATAAATCCTGAGTTTGTACCATCAGTGAAATAGAAAACAGGAATAATTTAGAGAAAAATCAATCAATGTTTCTTTGTAAAGATCAATAAAGTAGACATATTCTAGAAAGATGAATTAAAAAAAGGAATAAAGTAGAAATAATCAATATCACAAATGAAAGAGGGGACATCACTATATATCATAAAAACACTAAAGTAATAATATTGTAATAATATATACAATTTTATCAATAAATTCAGCAGCTTGCATGAAATAAAATTTGCTTAATTTGATTTTTTTAAGTTTTCCTAATTATTATAATATTCATTAAAATAATATGTACTCTAGAATTGTTGAAAGAAATATTTTATTGAGTATATTATCCTTAATGATTTTGATTTCTAAATGTTGTCTCAATTACCAACAATGTTTAACAATTGTTCTGATTTAGCTGTTGGTTCTTTTATTTYTCTCAGGTTTTGATCATGTATTTTAGAACAGTATCATAGAGGTATGCMCATTTAGGATTCTTATGTCCTTTTGAAAAGATTGTACCCTTATGATAAAATATCCTTTTTCAGCCCTGATAATATTCCTTCTTGTGAAATGTTCTTTTTTCTGATATTTATATAGCCATTCTATCTTTGTTATGCTTGGTATTTGCATAGTGTGTTATGTATATTTTTYTACAAAAATTATTTATGTTATCTCTAATATTTCAGTGTTTCATTTAGATATTGCATATTTAAATATTTGTTGTTTGTTCAGTATTAATACTTTGGACTTTTAATTATAGTATTTAAATCATTTTTATTTTATGTAGTATTGATATGATTAGATTATGTGCCCCTTCCTCCCATCTCCACACTGGGGATTAAACCCAGAGCACTGAGCCACTGAGCCACATCCTTCTCCCTTTTTATTTTTATTTTTTTTATTTTGARATAGGATCTCACTAAGTTGTTTTGGGCCTYRCTAAATTGTTAAGGCTGGCTTTGAATTTGTAATCCTCCTGCCTCAGTCTCCTAAACTGCTGAAATTACAGGTGTATACCACCACACCAGGCTATGTCTGCTTTTTCTGTTCACTTTTAACTTGCCTTATTTATTCTTGGCTTTTCTCTTATTTCCCTGCCTTCTTTTGGATTGAATAGCTTTTAAAATGATAGTTTTCTTTCATTTTTAGATTATTGGGTAACCCTGTTTGTTTTATGGGTTAGGTGTTTTTTGAGGGATATACATTTTTCACTTTCCAAAAAGTACCTTATATAAGGCCTTTTTACAT